GTAGTAGTCAGATGAACAGCGGGTGCAATTAATTTAAAGACTGAACCAGACTTACAGCAAAAAACATCAGAACATCCATAGAAAAGTTCACATATATCAGCATCAAAATGTAGTTGAAGTACCAAAAGCCAAAGCACTCATAGTCTTAGCTTAATCTATAATAACACATCTTTATATATTGATTTTATTTTCATGTTTTAGCTGCTGGTTGTGAACATTACTTAGGCTACCACTTAAAGTAGTGTTTCTGCCTCTCAAACCTAATTATAGCCACTGTATGTATTTTTCTTAATGTAATCTGCTCATCACAGACCATTGCCACCTTCTGCAGAGAGTTCACTGATTTACATATAAGTAATAATAAGTTTCATCAGTTGAGAGCTTCAGGGCTCGTTGAGATCCATCAGGGTTCCTGGTTCCCGGTTCTCTGTTTGGCTTGAATGTGCATAAAGATGCACGGCGATGTGATACACATCCCTGCTAAAAGTTTCACGCTATTCCACTGACTGTTTGGTGGCAGTAATGTGCCAAGAAACATAAATGGATGTAAACAGTACAGGTCTGAAAATGTTTTTTTTTTTAAAGTGAAAACTCAAAAAGCAAACATGTCCAGCTGAAACTGTCTTAACTTGCATGACCATGAACTCATCGTCTGACCTTCAATTTTCTTAACAACTGCTCATCCGACTGCCTTCAAACTTTGCATGTGTATTTCTTGAGAACCTTAGGAAGTGCAGTGTGGACTGTGAAGTTTTTTGGATGGCCCACTGTCGAGATTGAAACCCTTACGCTTCATGGGACTGCAGTAGTTTTCTTCAATGTTTAGAGACAGAGGCAAAAAGAAGAGCAGAGTAGTCAAACAAGTAAAAACAAGCCTCTGCACAGACATGATAATTGCTATTTCCATACTACACTAAATGCTCGCCTCAGAATATATTAACAGAGTTGTATTTACAGGTATTTTTCGCAGCCCAAGCAGGAGTACTGAGTGTGCGCAGATTATAAATGAATAATCTGTCGGTTTTTGTGCCGATCTGTTGACACTGACATGATGAAATGTGACGGGACTTTACTGATGATCAGGTAGTGTGTTTCTGACAGGGCAGATGGAGAGAGCATGGATGGATGGAGTGGGAGGACAGGAAAACAGGGGAAAGAGGAGAATAATTCAGCGGTAGAAGAGAAGAGGTACAGAGAAGAAAGGGTAGGAATCGAAAGGAGAAGAATGAAAGAGAAGAATAATTAAGAGGAGAGGAGGGTGATTGAAAAGAGAGGGCACTGACGAGAGTAGAGGAAAGGTGAGGGAAGAGTCTAAGGGAATGTAACAAATGGAAAGGACAAGAGAGGCAGGATAGGAGAGTGGAGAATTGGAAAGGCAGAAGATGAATTGAGACGAAAGTTGGGAAGATGGGGTAACCATAGAAAAGGTAGGGGGACGGAGGTTGGGGGAAGATAAGAGAGGACAAGAAGGGAGATCAGAATGAATGAGGAGGTGGTGAGGAGAATAAATGAAAAAAGGTGAACAATTCATCCAGTTTTCCACCTCCAATCATTATATCCTAACTCAGGGATTCCAGGGATCTGCCGCGGACTGATGGAAAAGCAGGATATAAATGATCGCAGGAAAAGACAGAATATGGTTGTTTATGTATTGATTCATGGCAATGCCAATTTGTCACCATGACAAGTCTGAGGCTCTAGAGCATGACTGTGACCAGATGACTGGGAGCTCCAAATTCACGTGACAGAAAATTATTTGTCATGTTATTATTTATATAAGTATTAACTTACAAACCCTTGCAACTCCACCCTCCCATTTATGTTTGTTTACCTCTTTTTCTTTAAATTCACTGCCTTTACATCATGTTACATGCTTACATCCAATTTAGATGGACCTGTACATTTCCTTCAACTCTGCAGTCAAGAAGTTCATGTTATGTTGCAGAACTCAAACTAGTTGAAGGATTGTTTCAATAAAAATTCGTCTGGGTTACATATAACAATTTTCCAACAGAATTTGAATACATTTATTCAGTGTCCTAACTACAAGTTGAAGCAAAATCATTGAAATGCTGTTGAAACAACAGTTATACAATAACCTTGACGTGCGATAATGTTCACTTGTCGGCCCAATTTAGTCCAGTTTTAACCCAGACGTCTAATGTAGTAAGTGCAGAAAATTAAAGATGGAGCACAAGCACATCCATTAATTCGTGGCAGATTCTGGGTGACAATTATCTATATAAAAAGCAGGAAAAAGAAAATATGTCACGCTGCTGTCTCGTTCCCAATTCTTCTTTTGTTCATCAGGTCCTGTAGTGCTGCAACTAACTATTATTTTCATTGTCAATTCATCTCCTGGTCATTTTTCAAATTGTTTTGCCTGTAAAATGGTGTGTTTTGCCCGACCAACCAACAGTCCAAACCCCAATGATATTTAGTTTAATAATAAGTATGACCATGAAAAGCAGCAAATCTTTTCATGGTCTTAACATTTTAGCTGCAGGAAAGTGCAAGTATTTGACTTTTCTGCTTAAGTAATGATCACCCAAGTATCAAAATAGCTGATTAATTTTCTGTCAACTGACTGCTCAAATAATCAACTCAGCGTTGCAGCCCTCATGTCGTTTTTTCATGATGTCCTTAAAAGAAGATTGAAATAAGAATTGGGAACAGGAGACACCAGCATGCAGCTAAGGTTTTTTCTTCTTTTTGTGAAATCAAAGATGAACACAAGGGACCAACCTTTACTTTCTCTTTACTAGGCTCAAGTTTTTCTGTCAAATACTGGTCTGCATGAAGTGTTCATTTGAAATACTTCCTAGAAAAGCTGCAGAAACAAAAAGATGAGCAACTTTGCATTAACTTAAGTTTTCTTAACCAACAATAATATAGTTTTTCTACAGTCTTTCCACTCTTGAGCTGCCAGTGGACTTCATCAGAACAGCATAGCAGATGGTTGAACAGCCCTCTCAGATTAAGGGAATGACTTTCCGAAACTGACCCCCACGTCACGCTTTGATTGGCCAGGTACGCAGAGGTGAGAGAGGAGCCAGAGTTTGAACTTCTCTCTCTTTTTTCATTTGTCACACAATTATTTCAGTCACTTTTCATGCATACAAATGAATGCAGCACTATGGATGTCTTTAAGCAGAGGCTGTCTGAAGGTGTGCACCATTATGCCCACATTTAAACAGGATCAGGAATAGGGGAAAAAAGCATTTGATCAACCAGCTCCAGTCAGGTCTTTGTTGGTATTTCAATTCTCCCAGCAACTTTGACAAAACTGTAGAAAAGATGATTTTTTTTTTCACAGTATCCAGGTGTAACTATCATCTGTCAGATTTAATTGACCCACTAAGAGACCTGAGAGTCTCTGTACACTAGACAGCAGCACACCTTTCAACTCAATCCACACATTCAGCTGTTGAACCAAATCACAGAAAGAAAACTTTGCAAAAACATCATATCTGACATAACGGTCACTGCTACTGTGTCTGCCAGAAAGCTAAAAGTGCTGTTATGTTTAGACTTTTTGGCCAAAGCTTGCCAAGACCCGCAGATTCACAGCTTTCCATAAAATTTGGCAGCATTAGTTTCTCTGTGCAGGATCTTCTCAGTTCAACCTCCTGTTGAGTCCATTAACACAGAAACTGGAGCAAGTGCTTTCCCTTAATCGCAGCTGATTCAGGCTTTCAAAGAGGGGACAGTAGCCTTCCTCTTCCATAATCTCTCAGCTGATTTGGGTTTGACCTGGCAGCTTTTTGACCTTTCACAGACAAGCTTCTCTAACACCAACAGTTTTTTGACGTAAAGGATGGGGGGGATGCAGTGAATTGATTTTCCTGCCTGGACTATTAATATTGAAGCTTCACAGGAAGCTGGGCTTCACTGCTCCATTATGCGAAGATTGTAAAAGGCAAAAAAACACATCAATATTCATATATTGTCATATGAGTGCATAGAAGGCGCCCTTACTAAGTGCTTTTAATGTGATATTTACCACTAGAGATGGCTCTGTGGGAGCATGCTGCTGAGTGAGAGATAACAATTAGGAGCCAGGATTGATTTTCTCTCTCTCTGTTTGCTTGAGGGTTCCTAAGTGCCTGGGTTATTTATGCACAGTGGTGCTCTTAGCTTGTAGTCCGCATCAATCTGAGGCTTCTATCAGATTTACACATCAAATACAATGCGTCACCAACTATGGCTCGACTAATTTTAGTTTACAAAAGTCCTTGATCGGAAGCCAATATGGCAAATCTCCCAGTCTGCAGCTGCAGAGCTGCTCCAAACACCTGGACTGTCACTGGTGTCACACACTAACAATTTTCTGTCAGCGCTGCATTTTTATAAAACTATTACAATGTGTCAAACAGCCAAACCTTTTGTCAAAGTGTCCTTGAGTAACACATGAAGCAGTAATCCGTTCAATTCACTCAGCAAGGCAGTGACAGAAAAATTCAAAGATGGAGAACGTACCAGAGAACTGAGTCCTAGAGGAGTGAAACGTCTCAGACCAGATCTGACCTGTTAATAATCTCATCATGAGCAGGGAGGGGCTAAAACTGCTGTTCACACAAAATAATCAGAGAGCAGGTGCAGCAGGGGACACCAACTTGCATTTGCTTCATATAATACAGGATAGTATATGGTGTGTAATGGTATATATTCCAATAATAATCCTTTCTGTTTCACATATAGTTAAATTTGAATAATTCCGTTCAGAAATATTCTAAATTTCTTGTAATATTCCTGCAGGAAATTAAAAATTAATATATGTGATAAATAGATTTTAATGTCTTTTATTTATTTAAAAATATTACACAATCACTAAAGTTTATTAAGCTTTGGTTTAAGTTCATAAGTAAGTCGAACCACTGCAAGCACATAACCTAAGTTCATAGTGACAACTCCAGGAAAAACCTAATTATACATCATACAGTTTCTGATGAACTATCTCCAGATGAACTGACTAACGTGCACGGACGCAACACCTCTACCTGCTTTCCTGAGTTTCCTGTTCCTGAACACGGACACAATGACCAGCAGGTTCCCGATAACATCCACCACGATGGTCGTGATCAGGACGCCGGCCAGCAGGGTCACCACCCAGGGGAAGGACTGGTGCTGCTGACCTGGAGCCCCTTCCTCCCCTGCCGGCGTGGAGTTGCCGGGCCCCAGTGTCCCTCCCACCATGGTGGGCTCATGGTCCTCCAGGGACATCAGTTGCGGAAGGTGCCTCGGGTCGACAAGTCGCATCCGGCCGTGGCCGCGGAAGGTCTGTCCATTCAGCATAACGCACGGCGGTCAGACTACGCGCACCGGGGAGTTGTGCGCATCGTTGCGCTCAATGGCACCGGAGCGACGCGTCCTTTATGTGCCGAAGTCTCCAAACGGGACATCGCAGGACATTTCTGTGAGTCAAGTGCGATTTTATTTTAACTAGGTTCACCTGTCACCGGTTGCGAGAATACAAACGCGACAGATTAATCTGGACTTTTGTGCTGAAGGAGTCTTCAGTGGCCAATATTCAGGGATAAAAAACGCACCAAAAATATTTTCCCATTCCCATTTAAACTAAAAGAAATTAAACAAAACTGCAGCTTCTTGGGTCACCCGCTTCATTTTGTGAATCGTGCTGTTCTGGCGCAGCCGGAGTGATGTTTCCACGCTGAGGTTTCATTCACAAATCCGCGCCTTTATCCATGACTCCAACTTCATTCAGTCTCTGTCTCTCAGGCTGCCGGTTTCACGGTCATTCAGACTCAACTCTGAGCGTCTGAGCCCTCGTCGAGCCTTATAGCGTCCAACAGTGACGTACCCTCTCTCTCTCTCTTTCTCTCTCTCTCTGTTTCTCTTTCTTTCTCTTTCCCTTTCTCTCCTTTGCTCTCTCTCTCTCTCTATCTCTCTCTCTCTGACTGCCGTGTTTCTCTGTTATATACTTTCCACATGATCCTCCAGTGATGCGCTCTCCATGGTCTTTTCTCTGTTCTTTCCTTTCTCTTTTTTCTTTTTCTCCCCTTCTCTGTGTTTTTTTTTTCTCTCGCCATCCCTTCAATCTTTACAGGTTTTTCACCTGTGCGCAAAACGGTTACATCTGATCCACCGGTGATGCTTTCTCTCGCTTGGCTTCTTATCGCCTTCTGCAGATGATGTTGGCGGGCCTTCGCCTCCCCGGATGCGCTTCACGGTCCTTCATAAACGCATCGTCGGACGGTTCACATTCCTCTGACATGTGACATCTGTGATTCTCAACAGTGAACTTACTTTGAGCTTTAAAACATGCACATCAAAGGATGTTTGTGTGGTCTTTATTAACCTTAATTCAATTTATTATAGGATGGGTTTTTTAGTGATATCATATCACATTTAAAATATAAAGAAATTTCACAGACCAAACTCACTTTTGAGTGCCTCAGACACATTATGCAGATTTGTAGGGTGATAATATTGGCTGCTGGATGACAGCCAGTCGGCTAATGGCAGATAAAAAAAAATGTTGAGGCTATTATTTAAAATATCCTTGATTGTTATTGGCTTTTAAAATCTGCTTATGACCAGTCCACACACAAGGAAGCCCATGACTCCAAACTGTCTTTTTGTGACATTTTCCTTGGATTTGATTCAGTGTGCGTCGTTGAAGGTGGTGCTTCTTCTTTCTCAGTTTAGCCTTGGTGGCCTTCACATTACTGCTCATACAGACCTTCTTCTGTTCATTCCAAACAAAGCCAGTACATTAAACCTACAGCATCATTTTCCATCTAAGGAGCTAGCAGACAGCGAAAGTCTGGAATAAGGAATGTAACTGCTTTCACAAGCCTGATATACATAGGAAATTCTACAATGACGAATAGAAACTTGTTGATATATTATTATATTATATTCCAAAAAAAGAATAACATCACCTACTTTTTGCCTGAACTGGACCACATAGCACAGGAATAGACCGAAAAATAACCTCACAGCAGCTCAGATTTAAACAATTCAACACAGGAGTGTGCGTGGTGAAGTGAACAAGGTGATGGATTTAGATCATCAGCGCTGGTCTAAAACACAAGAGGAAGAAGAAGAGGATGGAGACTGGTGTATAAAAAGACAAGATGGTGCCCAGAGAATTTGAATCATTCATTTCCACATCAAACGCAACGTTCGCCAAGTCTTTTGGTTTTCATCCAAACAGGGCAAATACTCTCTCCTCTCCCTCATCTGACATGCACTTTGTTGGTGCTTGAAACACTCAAGTCTCCGCTGTGAGTAATGTGACTCAGTGTGTGTTGGTTTGCATGAAGCATCTACACACACACACACACACACACACACACACACACACACACACACACACATGCATTACTCACACAACATATGCAAATACACCTGTGCTTCTTTGGGATGTTTGACCAGACACTGTGAAGCATGCTTTATATATATTGCTGAAGTGTTGTGAATACACAAAGCGAGAAACATGTACACAATCTCATGCACAAAGGCGCAGGAAGCCTCATGCGTAAAGGAAAACACACACAAAGAGATATAAACACAAACTAGTTGTTCTTTTATTAACATATCCCATCTGTCCATGCATCGCGCATAAATAACTCTACCAGTAATTTCAGGGCACGTTCACACATACGGTTCTCTGAGGCTTATTTAGACCCTGAGGCATTTACTCCCTGACTTCAGTCAGAAAGCAGCACAGACACACCTGGAAATGAGAAAATGATGTGTAATGACCAGTAGTTTGTGTTTGGAAAAACTCCAAAAGTTGAAGCTGATTAAATGTTCACTTTCAAATCAGAGTATTCCAAAAGTTATCTTTTCCTTAGTTATTTATTTTTATGCCTCCTCGCCAGCGACAGCCAGGGCAGTAGGGATTATGTTTTCAGGTTGTCCATTCATCCCATTTTCGTAAATGCAATATGTCAGTAAAACCTTGAGGAAATTTCTTCAAATTCGGCATTTTAGCAGAAACATTCACTTGGACTCAAGGATGAAATGATTAGTTTTTGGTGGTCAAAGGTCATAATCGCAGTGACCACAAATTCATATGCCAATTATGGTGCAATTTAACACAAATGTCTCATAGATTACAATGATGAAGTGATGACTTGTTATACCCAAAAGGTCAAAGGTCAACTTCACTGTGACATTATAATGTTCTGCCATGATTCAACACTGCAGCTCAGGAAGGGAAGATTGTGACCATATTACCTGCAACTTGTCTGGTTGTTGGAGGCGTGTAACTACGAGTCCTACCAACTAAATGATAAAACAAGTTTCTTGTTGTTATTTTCTGATATAACACCTCCACTGGCAGGATACAATCCTTACTTTTCCAAATTGTTACAAACGACCATTACAGAGATAGTTCATGTCTGTTTGCTGATCCAACATATGGTTGGTTAAGGTTTGGTAAAGTTTGGGCAACAGAAACTAGAAGGGAAAGATCAGGTTCTGGTCATGGTTAAAAGAAACCAACATTACTGACATTTAGTTCTGTCCAGTGCTAATGCAGGAAGGAAGCAGTGCACTCTATATGTAAAAAGTACAGACTGTATATAAAGATGGACGTTGCCTCTGTGATGTCACCCATATGGTTTCTGAAGAGCGGTTTTGAAGCTCAGAGTGGGCTGCCCTACCATTGCCATTTTGCCAGTACCTGACTCTGCCGAACCCCTTTTTTGAATGATTGAGGGCGTGGCCACTTTGAGTGACAGGTGGGTGAGTGTAGGCTCAACACAAACCAGCATACACCTAAGTCTTAGCTCCACATACGCCCCACCTCTTTGCCCTTTTGTGGATTAGCTGGGAGTTAGGTGGAGTCATGCACCGCCAATATGCTGACAGCAGAGCAGCAGAAGACATACAGTGTCACCTTCTGGTCATCTAGTTATTTAGTATCTAGTGAGGCATTTATGAAGTTATTTCACTTTGTTTTTAGTCAGTGGTAAAAAAAAAAAAAAAAATTATCCATCAATGGACTACTTAACATTACATGAATATTATTCTGTGAAGTGGTGAACTCAAAATGCTTCTTTCTCAGAGAGGCACCTGTTCTGTTAATACATTATATCTTTCTGGTTGATGTGGGTTTAGAAATTTGTTCTCATTATAGGAGCAAATGGAATTTTTTTTTGCTTTGTTATGTGTTTTTCTTTTTCTTTTTTTTTTCTTTTTTTTAGCAATAAACTTATATCATGAAAATGAAAATTAGTACGCCTACTTAAACTGTACAAATTGCATCAATATGGGGAACTGTCAGATTCTGGAATCACATTATACACATTATAAAATAAATAATACCAATAAAATTAATGATGATACCATATTTCTTTATATAGAACAATTAGTTATTAGATGCAGCTCAAACCAAACGTAGCCATTGTATTTGCTGTGCAGAACATAGCTGAATAAAGTAATATCTAACATTGTAGTTTTCAACAATAAATCTAGTTTCTTATGAATTAATTTTCTATGTGCTGTGACCCTTTTAGTAACCTCTCTTATTGATTCCACGTGTTTCATGTAATTCAGGACCATTTTTCCGCATTAAATCACCTGTTGTTTTCGCTGTATTCAGTCCTGTATGTGCAGAACAATGAGGTGCATTTTTAGGACGTATTTCCCAGAAATCCCTGCAGCCAGGCTTGAGTGGTGTGGGGCTGTGAAATAGGTTTTTTCTGACTTTTGACCCCTCCTTCTGTCCTCTCAGCTCCTTACTGCCCACTGTCACAACAGAATTGAGTGTGAATTGCTGCGCTGTTTCCACAAAACAGATTTATTAAATTACCACAGTGAGGCTCGGCCACATGTAACAAACAGACACGTGGAACACACACGCACACATGTTTAGACATGCATGTGCAAATACACACACACACACACACACGCACATTGCCACAGAGTCTGGCATATACATAAACAAGCTAAAAATGCCACTACAGAGCCATTTGGACTACATTAGTGCTCTCGTGGGTCACATTGAGGGTGTTTGATTTTGTTGATTTCTAGGAATTCCTGCAATTTCCCTTTGGAATAAATGAAGTACTGTATCTTTCTGTGTAGAATCAGTGGGATGCAGATGTGTGTATGTGTGCGAGAGGGAGGGAGGTTGTTCATGCCAAAGCATCTACACATATAAAACAGGCACATACACACATTTACCTTTTGCTTAAGATAAATAGATATTGATGCACATGTCAAAATCTGCATATCTATGTACATTCTTTAACCTGTTAACCATTCATAATCTATGAATTGAATGTACCTAATTAGGTGTGTCGAAGCATAATGAATAT